AGAAACGCTATGCAGGATCGCTATGAGTTGAAACTGACTCCACAGCACACCACCACCGCCACCACCACCATTCTAACAAACTGCTTGTTCTCATGTGTGAATTATTAGGCATAGTAGAAAAATTTAACTTTTACTCTCAATTAAAGATGACTTGAGTTGATATCAGACATACCAGACTTGGAAATTATGCAAAACAAACAGTATGAGTAAATACCTTCTTTATTGTTTTTATTTGAACCTTTATGTAAAAATGTGATATGATTTGTTCTCTAAAACTGTCATTTTAATTCAAAGTATGTTTGGCATAGGAGGGGGATTGCTATAGGCAACATCCAGAGGTGAGGATGCTTAATAGAAGGAAGATAAGCTTTGATATCTGAGGTCCTTCAAAGTGTTTCAGATTTAGTTCCCTGAGGAGCCCTGGATGCGTAGTGGATTATGAACTCGGCTGCTAACTGCCAGGTCAGCGGTTTGAATCTGCCAGTCACTCCACAGGAGAAAGATGAGGCTTTCTGCTCCCATAGAGATTTACAGCCTTGGAAACCCTATACAGGGTCACTATGCATCGGAACCGACTCTAGGGCACACATCCACCACCACCAAATAATTAACTGAACTTGGGTGTGGCACTGTAGAATTAGCACTGGCCTACTAACCACAAAGTTGGCAGTTCAAACCTACTAGCCTCTCACGGAAACCCTACCCAGGGTCAAGTCAGTTGGAACTGAACTGATAACATACAGCAACAACAACAAATAATTAATTGTTTGTTTTTGTATTTTGATTAAAGATTTATATTTAAATTAAAATATTATTGTGAATTATGTGATAGTTTACATGGGAGAACATTAGCTTTACATTCATCCTGTCATATTTAAACTTTTAAACGTGATAGTTTAAACAACACTGCTTGGTTGCTTAGTTCATTGTTTTTAAGTTTTAATGCAGAAACAATTTGAGTGTGTTGCAATATGTCATTAATATTGAAACCACTTACTAGAAAGCAAGCGTGGCAACAGCAGTGAGGTTGGGCCAGGGTCGGGCAGCATTTCGTTCTGCTGTGCATAAGGTTGCTATAAGTCGGTACCGACTCGATGGCACCTAACAACAACAACAACTAGAAAGCATGGAGATAGAAATAATTGTCATTCAGAATTTTGTAAAATATATAAGTTTATGGACTTTGCATTAGTCTTTAATATTCATTAGTCTTGATTTCTCCCTATTATAGACTGAACTGGCAAGAAAAAATGTCCATTTCTTACTGCTTCAGGTGTAATACTGGATAGGCTCTTTAATTCTGCAAGTCTGCTCATGATTCTTGTAACTAATTTGTTTGTGGCCTGTTTCTTGAAATGCCCACTTAAGCCATCTCTGTCATTATTCCAGACTGTTACTTGTTTTCCTTTATAACAGAGGTGGGGAACGTAGAGCCTGTAAAATCATTTGATCTGATCTTGCTAAGCCAATCGCAGTTTTAGCCATTACATTGTTGTTAAGTACTGTCAAATTGGTCTTGACTCATAGCAACCTTGTGTAGGGTTTCCGAGGAGTGACTGGTGAGTTTGAACCACCGACCTTGCGGGTTCAAACTGGCTTTACAGCCCAGTGCATTATCCTACAGTGCCAAGGTTGAGTTACTGAAATGTTTGACCAAATATAGCAGGCTGATTTTTTGAGTTGATAATTTTGTGTGGCCCTCAAGTGGTGTTAAAAATTTTGGCAGAAAATAGGTTCCCCACCCCTGCTTGATAGCGTCACATTATTAATTGGATTTCATTCTTGGAAAAACTTCTCAGTATTTAATATCCATCCTTGGTCAGGATTCATATTTCCTGTCTTGAAAGTAATGATTCTGCTTCTATCCAAAACACTCTTGTGTTTTAGCCCTACTTGGACTTTCCCTGCTGAGGCTGTTTTCTCCCAAGACCAGGACTTAAATTCTAAAGTAAAGCAGTAACAAGAAAAATAATGCCACCTCTAGAGAGGTGGCAAGGAGGGGTACAAAGGATGGCAGTTGCCAGCTGAAGGTGTGAGTGATGTTGGGTTTCTGGGTGGAGTCTGGGATGTCAAACCAGTTATCTGTTGTAGTACTATCTTCTTGTATTTTTTTTTTCTCTAGCATAAATAGTCCTCTCAGACTTGTCATGAACATTTGCCAATGATGTAATAATGATGATTATACCAGAAGCACCAGAGCCAGCCATTGGCATGGTGGGGCTCTGTGCGTGGTTAGTTTGATTAAGTATTCTAAGAGGTTATATTGGGTTTGTCACCTGTGAGAGAGGACTGTTGTGCATTAAGTAATGAAAAAACTGCTCACCACTGACTATCCTGATCTCACAGAGAGTATAAGGCAGTTCAGTAAGTAAGTGCCTCTTGTTTAGTATGCTTGAATGCAAATATTCACACATTTATTAGACGTAGTGCTCCATCTTGTATTAGTCTCATCAAAGCTGGAAGTATAAATGATGTTTAATATCTAGATCTAAGCATTGTATTTTCAGTTGTTTTGCTTGACAATTACCTTTTAATCATCCACTTATGAAACTAGATTTTAGAAAACATATTATTATTTTAGTTGTGTGTGGTTTTTTTTTTTTTAAACACATGTTGATCCTTTCCAATTTCTTGTTCCTTGCTGTTTTTTGTTTTTTAATTTTTAAAATTTAGTGGAAGAATGCATTTTGTGGATCCTGTTGCTTTTCAACTTGGTTGGTGACACTGTCTGAGGTAGGCCCCCAGCAACCTTACAAACCACTTCCTTTTGGTTCAGAGTAAAGTTTTGGGAGATTTGGAATAAATGGCTGTTTGTCAGATGTGATCTTAGAGTTGTGAGGGCCCACTGTCTACCTTCCCTGATTTTGCTTAGCCCCCAGCACATTTTTCATAAATGGAAAGTCCCAAAGGAGAGATGGGTGTTTGTGGTTTAAGTCTCCCATTTGTTAAAATTTGGACAGCAAGAAATGCCACTGTTAAGCCTTATGAACAATTTGGGTAATATATAGTGGATGGAGAGGAGGGGAGACAGAAAGAGAAAAGAGGGAATATACAATTCAGTAACATGCACTTTAAAAGAAATGTAGGAGAAAACCAAAAAAGGAGGCTAGGATTACTGAAGACAACTTATACAGACACTATTATTTTATCCAAGATCAGCTTGTCATGGTTCCCAGGTGACCAGGCACAATGACCCGCATCATTCTTGGAAAATCCTTTAGAGGAGGGATTGACAAACTGTGGCCCACAAGCCTAATCTACCCTGCCACCTATGTTTGTAAATTTTAGTGTACCATAGTCACTCTCATTCATCTGCATACTTTCTATGGCTGCCTTCATGCTTCCACAGTTGAATTAAGTAGTTGCAACAGATATGGCCCACAGAACCTAAAAGTTGTACTGTTTAGATCTTTACAGCAGAACTGCCAAGTCCTAGTCTAGAGAGTCTAGATTTTACCAGGGTTAAGCATGGATCACTGCTGTTGTTGTTAGGTGCCATCGAGTAGGTTCTGACTCACAGCCACCCTTGGGGAATGCCAGGGGTCCCTGGATGTCACCAGAAGCTAGGAGAGAGGCCTGGAACAATTTTTTTTAAAGAGCCATGAGGAGTCAGCCTGGCTGGCAACCTGATTTCAGACTCCTATCCTTCAGAACTGTAAACAGATGACAGAATTTGATATTAGAAATGGGATGCTGTTGTAACAAATACCTAAAAATATGAACATGGCTTTGAAATTGAGCAGTGAGTAGAGGCTGGAAGAATTCTGAGGCACTTGCTACTTGTTAGGTGCTGTTAGTCGGATCCGATTCATAGCGACCCTCATCCTGCACCGTCCTCTCACTTGTTATGCTCGAGCCTGTTACTGCTGCCACTGTGCCAGTCCATCTCATTGGAGGTTGACCCTCTACTGTACCAAACATGTCCCTCCTGATAATATGTCAGAAGCATGAGGGATGAAGTCTTGCCATCCTGGTTTTTAAGCAGTGTTCTGACTATACTTTTTTTTTTTTTTTTTAATTGTGACTTATGTGATAGCTTACATGGGAGAATGTTAGCTTTACATTTATCCTATTGTATTTCATTTCATTGCAATGATTACAATCTCCTCCATGCATCATCAAACAACCAAAGGGTACACCCTGCAAGCCTGGCCCCCGGCCACCAACACATAGCCCCTCTCCCTCCCTGAGTCCAGGGTCCCCAGCTGCTCCATCTCTGGCGTCACTGTTTCTCTGGGTAGGGTCCCACACTCTGCTCCTCTCACTTGATGGTCCCAGGGACCTCTGCTCCTGGACAGCAAAATCTGACGGTACTTTTTCCAACACAGAAATGTTTGTTCTAATACTCTTCTCCAACTACCATAACTCAAATACACCAATTATTCTATGGTCTTCCTTATTCATTGTCCAAGTTTCACATGCGATTGAAATTGAAATTGAAAATATCATGGCTTGGATGAGGTGAGGTGCACCTTAGCTATCAAGCAGATATATGTGCTCTTTGACACTTTAAAGAGGTCTTTTGCATGTATCATAGATACCTTGAATGTATTTTGAACTTCTGGTCTTACTGTAATGTGGATTTAAGGACAGAAGTTTGAAAGAAAGGTAGGAGTATATCTGTATGACTGCTCATTTAAGAAAAGAGTTTAAAAAATATTCTTATAATAAAGGATGGCACTGCTATATTTTAAACATAAATAGCTAATGGAAAATTAGTCTTTGATTTTACATGCGTTTGTTCTACCAGCTTCTTCAGATGCTCCCATTGTATTAGATGACAAATTGTTCCACTTTTTTTCCTGGATATTCATCTATCATTTTCAGAGACCAGCATTATATATTTTTAAATATAAATAGGAATCTAAATAAAAAAACTCTAACCTTGGGGTTTTGCCTCATTTGTCTTCTTTCTCTCTCAGCTTGAATTCCATGGCCAAAAATGACTTTGCCAGTGGAGACTCTCTTCGGTAAAGAAGATTACCAGACAGGCGGCTGGGATGAACATGCCACTGCATCATCTCTCTGCCATTCCTTCCCAGGATGCTGGGGTCTACAGGAGTAAAGCCAAAGAAAAGGGGAGGGAAGAACAGGTAAGGGGGCTGGTTGGTGGAATGTGGGAGGAACAGGGAGGAGTTTATCTTGTCTTTATGGTGTGCTTTATAAGTAATTTGCTCCTGAGTTCTCTTAGTACTCCTGTCTTATAGCTAATCTTCATCTCTGTCCAAAATATGTATCAAATCTGGAATAGTCTTGTTGAATTTAAATCATTCTAAATAATAGGATATCTTTTTTGGGGGGGGAGAAGAGAGGTTTTTGATATGGGATGTCTTGAAGGGAAGCTTTCGGAAATGTCCATTGTTCCAGCATTTCTAATTAATAGCACTGGTGAGCTTGGTCTGAATTCTTGTCAGTATCACCCTGGTGAGGCTAAGGGTCAGGAGTAGCCACTAGCTTGAGAAGAAAGTACATGTCAATGTTTGTAGATATAGTGTTATTTTTAGCATTTTACTTCTTTAGTTTAATGAGGATGGGAAAACACTCCCCAGTATTTTCATGCTCTTTATCTATCCCTTCTTAGCTCATCTGTATTTTAAAATACCACTAACTTGAATAGTCCCCTAGTCTATGGTACTCAACTATACCAAACGGAGACTGCCAGTCCCCTGTCATTTTAGTGTTGAATTTGGACACCAGATGGCATGAATTTCTTGATATGTATATGAACACACTTTATCAATTTGTTTGGAAAAGGAAGAAGTCAAAACTTTTAGGCTAGAAAGTCGTTGAACTTTTTATTTTTGAATGTTGATTGTGAATTATGTGATAGTTTACATGGGAGAACATTAGTTTTACATTCATCCTATTGTATATCGTTTCATTGCCATGGTTGCAATCTCCTCCATGGATCATCAGCTAACCAAAGAGTATACCCTTCAAACCTGCCCCGCGGTCGTCAGCACACAGCTCCTCTCCTTCTCTGGGTCTAGAGTTCCCAACCGCTCCATCTCTCCATGTCATCGTCTCTGCCTCCATCTCTGGCATCACTGCTTCTCTGGGTAGGGTCCTACACACCACTCTTCTCCCATGATGGTCTCAGGGACCTCCGCTTCTGGACTGCAAAGTCAGTCACTCCCCTCCTTTTACTATATAACATCTACCTTTACATTTCCAACCCTCACAGTCAGTCCTGATTAACAGTTATTCACTGTTGTACCACAAGAGACCTATCTGCATTTCCTTTCATCAGCCCCACCCAGACAGATTGGATACTACTCAGTGGAGATTCTACCTTCCTCCAAGCCCTCTGGACCTAGGCTCCCTCTTGAAAGCTTGTAAGCCAGTCACTTCTTGCCTTTGTAGCCCCCCACCCCCATATTGGGTAGCCAATGTCCAACTTGCCCATCCCTGTCTATTTTGTGTGTGGAGGGTGTGGGAATGATTCTTGCTGTTAGGACTTATTCCCTCTTTTGAGTTACTGCTTCCATAGGTGTAGGTCAAGTTCATCAAATTGTATGTGAATACTTTTTTTTTTTTCCTCCTCTTCTTTTTACTTATGGTTGAGCTCTGATCATCCAGTCATTGAAGCCAGGACAAGTGGGTATTATCTGCAAGTGTGGGTGTTCTTATGCATATGCCCTCTCTTCTTATCAACTGGACGCTTCACTCTCCACTCTAGTCCTCTGTGGCTATGTCACTGACTCTAGGAATATTTCTCCTTTTGTGACTGACTAATTTCCCTCAAAATAATGTCCTCAAGGTTCATCCATGTTATGAGGTGGCTTGCAGCTTTCTTGTTCTTCAAGGAAGCATAGTATTCCATTGTGTGTTTATATATTCTTCAGTTTGTTTATCCATTCTTCTATTGATGGGCACTTATGCTGTCTTCATCTTTTTGCTATTGTAACTAGTGCTGCTGTGAACATTGATGTGAAAGTTGTTAACTTTTGATACAAAATTCTACTCTGAAGACTAGTAGGTGACTATTCAGGAAGTGTGTATTGAATTAACCATTTGATAAGGTTTTAGTGTTTAAATGGACACCTGGTGCACAGTGGGTTAAGTATTGGGCTGCTAACCACAGGTCGGCAGCGTAAATAGGTAGATTAACCAGCAGTGTTCCTAGAATTGGAATTTTGGTTGGTATTGGAAAGAAAAGGACTCTTCTTTCCCACCTTACTGTGGGGAGTTGTTTTAATACCTAATGGCAGTGTGACAATTCTGACAATCATGCCACCCAGCCAAGGGCACAGGACTAAGACAGAGCCCCTCAAGAGCTTTGGCAGCCATCGACACACAGCTGAGAATTATTGCAGGTTTTCAGGGTCTGAAATGTGTTATCCGGTTTGAAGGGTGCATTTGTGTCCAGTGGAGCTCATTTCCCTTTTTCTGGCTCCCCTGGCACTGCAAGTTTAACCCTTTCTGATCTTTTCTGAGATTCAAAGGAGATGAAAGGGAAGCTCCGCTTCTTTCTATCCCATCATCCACTATCTTATAACTGGAAATGCAGTTTTCTCTCACAGCTTTAGAGATAATATAAGACCGTTCAGGTATAGCATGTGAGACGAGTGGAGCATTGCATTTTTCCCAGTAGATCAGCACAATCAATCCAATGGTTAGATATAATTTTACTTGTGAATCTCAGTCGCAAATTTCCCTTTTTGTGAGACTTGATCTGTAATTCTTACACAAAGAATTAATGGGTTTTACACAGTTGTTGTTAAGTGCTGTTGAGTTGTTTCTGACTTACAGTGACCCTTTGTAGGATTTCCAAGTAGTGACTGTTGGGTTTGAACTGCCTGCCTTGCGATTAGCAGTCCCGTGCTTACCCTACAGCGCCACATGCTTAATAGTAGTAGTGGTATGGGGATGACTTTGAAGATAAAATGAATGTTTTAGAAATTCACGAAAGGATTTCTGATACTGTTACTTATGAATCGCTATATGAAGAAAAACGTGGCATCAGGATTGGAGGAAGACTCATTAACAACCTGCGATATGCAGATGATACAACCTTGATCGCTGAAAGTGAAGAG